CTTGACATAATTACAGGTAATAAATTACATTTGTCCCCTAATTAACTATTGAGATTAAAAAATAATAATAATCATAATTAAGTAATTAAACTTTGTAAAAAGTACATGTCATACCATTGATTTGATGTATGCAGTACTTTCTCATTCCCTCTTGTTAAGTAAGAAAATTGACCTTTCCTATTCTACTTTTTTCGTCATGGTAGGTACTTAGACATAGATTTGATTGAAAGTTAAACAATTTCCTTTTTTGAATTTAAAGTTCAGAAAATGAATTTGAGAGTAAACATTGTATATTTGTATTTAAACATACATTCTTGGAAAAATGTAAATTTTTTTGAGTGATTTTATTTTATTTTTTAAAAAAAAACTAACCAAAAAATTAGTACAATGTATTACAGTTATGCCTCATAATATGTGTCATGTTTTATTTTAGAGAGTAAAATTGAATTAGCATTGATCAACATTGTAAGATATAACTTTTCATTATATTGATACAAGTAGAAGTATAACTTATAGTAATGCTTTTCGTATATATATATTTAATATCTAAATCGTAATTATAAATTATTGAATTAATCTAATTCAACCAAACTTTAAAAATTATCGAATAGCAAAATATGATAGTTAATATGAGACGAAAACCACTAAAAGGTGTGGTGCAATGGATATGTGACAGTTCATCCCTTAATTAGAGATCTCGATTTCGAGCCTTAATATGAAAAAAATCTTTAATAGAGAATATTGACTCTACATCTTACATGAGTATCGAACATCAAACATAAAATCAAAAGAAAAAAATAAGGAAGAAAGGAATTTTAACAACTAAGGAGTTCTATTTTGTTCAAATAAGGTTCATTCCCAAATAAAGAAAAAAAGGAAAATATTTTTAAAATGAAAAAAAAGAGAGGCTCAAAGCATAAACCCTAGACAACCCTCCCATCTCTATTTGTTTGCCACGTGTCATCAGCCACAAACTCCATGGATTTCTCCCCCTTATTACCAAACCCCCTACCACTTCTCCATCTTCTTCTTCTTCTTCTTCTTCTTCCTCCTCCTCTGCTCTGTTTCTCTCTCAATTTTCTCTCCTACCAAACCGCCGCAAAATTCAACCAGAATGAAAAACAGCAAGCAGAACGAACTGTGTGATTTGTTTCATAATCCATCTAAAGATGAAATTGAAGTAGTAGAAATTCTACTCGATCTCGAAAATCTAGTGAGAGAGAGACAATATTGTTCGGTAATTTGGGGTTCTAAGAAAAGGAGATCTAATCGACGCATCGATTCTTCTTCTTCTCCCGTCGTCAACTCATCAAGTTCTATTCAAGGAAGTTCGAAAATCGATGAAAACGAAATTGAACCAAAAATTAAAGCTGAAGTTACTAGCCCTGCTACTCCTCTTTCATTTTCCCCAAGTGAATCTGATGAAAAATCCAAACATTCTTCTCGAAAAAGCTATAAACGAAAGGTACTATTCTCAACTCTCTCTCTTCTTCTTCTTCTTCGTGAATTCATAATTGTTAATTGATTTTCAAACTTGTTTTCTACGATTCGATATCTGTTTCTTTTTTCTCTCTATTAACCAGTTTCAATGCCTTCTCCCCTGTTTCGGATAATTTTTGTTTTATGAAAGTGGGTTATTTTTAATAGAATTTTCAACTTCGTTTCAACAATGATAACATACGCAGTGAAATCTCACAAATAGAGTCAACTGTTTTTGAAAAATCCTCGACTAGAAATTTAAATCTTGTTGCAAGAAATTTTTATCTTTATGATTGGGAATTTGGTGAATGATTTGAGTATTAAAATTGTTGATTGGTTTGCAGACGAGGGAGGAGTTAGTGGATAAAATAAAACAATTATCTCAATGCAGAGAATCGCTTACAGGGGTAAGTTTGTAAATTCCGTTAACATAAATTTTGTTTTTATTTTCTTTTCCTAAATTATCCTCTGTCTTCTTTTATTTTTTTTCTTGATATATTTTATTTATTTATTGCTGGAAATGGAATTTGTACAGGAAGTGGAGAATGTTCGTAATTACTACAACAATCAAAAAGCTTATAATTTGAAGTTGAAAGCAATGAAAGAAGAGGTAAATATTCATCTCTATTTTTGGTAAAAATGTTTACTATTTTCTCACTTATTTGAGATTTGTGATTGTGGCTGGGGGTGGGGGTGGGGTTGCATAATTTGTCCACAAAATTGATCATTTGCTACACTAATAGTATGAAAGAACGTTTACGTTATCAGTATAATTTAACTCGTGATAACATATTATTACTCTATTTTTGCAGTTTAATTATTAGCTTACGACAAAAAGTGTATAATTTAACTTGTGATGACATATTATTTCTCTATTTTTTCGAGTTTGCTTATTAGTTTATGATAAAAAATGTATAATTTAACTCATGATAACATATTATTACTCTATTTTTCAAGTTCCCTTGTTAGCAATCAGCTTCTTCCTTCGCGTAATCTACGGGATAACCACCTCCTTGTTACGTTGCATTTTGTGATTTTCCGCTTCGTTAATTACAGGTAACAAGAATGGTGAATTTCCAAGGGGCTGGTGTTAATTTAGGTCAACTTTACGGTAATCCTGGAATAGAGCCCAATCGTCAACAGCCGTTCATTATGGATCAGGTTGCTTCAAGATCAGAAGCTTTCCATAGATTTCAGTACCCATTGGGCCAGCTGCAACAGGCCCAACATTTGTACTCAAATGGGTTGGGCCCAGGCCCAATGGGCCTTCCGGATCTGAATGTTACGGTGGACGAGGCTTTCGCATTGGACCCGTTCGATATCGATAGAATGAATGTTGAAAGGAAGGCCCAATATGCTGAAGCTAGAAGGAAGAGGAGGATTAAAAGAATAGAAATTAAGAATTCATCTGGTTTTATTAGACCACCAAGAAGGAGATAGTAGGTAATTGTTGTATTTTTGATCCCTCCATAGAATGATAGTATTATTTTTTTTGAGCGATACGGAAGGCCAATCGAGCAAAGCTCTATTTTTTTGCTTTCGTTATGTCGCTAAGTGAAATTGTATCGTACATTAGTTGATGAGCTATAATGATGTACGTATACTTTTCATTGATCGTATAAACAAAATATTCCCCTGGATTTAGGTTTTGATTTTGATTTTTTCACAATTGGATTATTTTGCATGACATTTTGGTATTGAATGGTCAAGAGAATTCTGAGGTCTCAAATTCAAAATTTAGTGGAAAAAAAAAATCATTAGGTGATTCTTCTCGCATGTCCTAGCCCCTAGGTATCTCATGGAATTAGTCGAGGTGGGCAAAAGTTAGCTTGGACACTCCCGAATATAATCAAATATTAAAAATGTATGTCTTAAACTCTTAGAATCACTTATCATGTTGTTTTATCAATATATTAAAGAATGAGAAAATTTTCAAAATGTCAATATCTAGTTATTGTCTTTGATTATTGGACGCGTGGATCTTTGTACTATTCGGAAAGGCATAATGGATCAAAATATCTGTAGTTAGATTGATTTTGTTCTGTCCCAAGTAACTTGGATACTTAATAGGCCCAAATCTATAAAACTGGGCTATTAACTAGGTCAACACAAAACTAGGTTTAGGGTTTGGAGACTGCTACTAAATATACTAACACTTGTGACTAAAATTTCTCTCTAGGCTATGTGAAAAATGTTGTCTTTTCTTTCTCTTGTCATTGTTTGAGTTAATTTATGTGCACATCAACTAATTTCACGATAACTCATTCTCTTTGTGTTGTGTTTTCTGTTAGAGTTTGATTGAAAATTCATTGCAAAAGGGGTATGCTGACGATGACATTATTGTTGAGGATATAAGAAGCTCAAACTTTATTGAAGTTTGAGCGATGCTTTTTCCTATTACTTCCATGACTCTGATGCATAATTTATCCCAATTACCTTATATTTATTGCATTTTTTTCTTTGTTGGCAAAATTAAGTGCTTTCATGGCGAGATTATGTTGGCTATTTTGTTTTTGTTGATATAATTTGATGGTCGCCTTACACTTGGATTCCAATTATGTGTACAAAAGAAGTTTAATTAAATGAATTTAGGTTTAATCAGGTCTTTTGAACCTAACTATTAAGTCAATTTATGTTGTAGGATTTGTCATAATTGAAAAGGCCAAACACATTGATTCTTTAATTTGATCTCAATTTTAATGTTGGTACTTTAATTCATACTTGTTTTAGTTAGAATATATTTTGGTTCTCCCATTCATAATCAATAATTGAATAACTGGAAATAGAAACAATAAGGTGGGATGATGAAATAGCCATATTTCACTATATAATTTGGGGAAGAAGCAGATGAAAGAAGCTGAATATTATTTTCCTTTTCTATATTTCTTTAAAAACACTTTGATTAGCTAATCAAATCATTGTGTCATTTTTTTATTGGATATTTTGGTCCAAATTCATGTGCGTAGAGTCCAAGTACCTTTAAGGGCGTTCAGCAAAAAAAAAGTACCTTTAAGGGCAAGGATACGCTCGTGAAACCCCCTTATTGTTCTTTCGAAACATGAATGATATAATTGGTGGAAAAAATGCCTTAAATATAAGAGAATTTGAGAATTGGCTATGGATTACGGGCTAAATATAATAAGGGACTGAGAATTGGTTATGAATTACGGGTTAAAGAGAAATGAAATGTTTCTCCAATGTAAATATGCAATAGCATTCAGGGAAAAAAAAGATGAATCAAATGTAATAAAATAACTGCTAGAGAATATTATTTAGAGGAGTACGGATGCATATTTTAAATTATTATACTAGAATAGTATCTTAAGTGCAAGAAACCGCAATACACAAACAAGTATAAGAAGCTACTGTAATACAGTATATTCATATAGACCAATAAAAGACATTTCATTTCTCAACAAACCAAACACAAAGTTCAAATGAAGAGAAGACAATAGGAAACATAACAAGTTCACTTTGGCAGAAATTGAACAAACCAACAAATATCAAATGTAGACAAGTCTTTAGGATTCATATTGATGATCATCAGCGGCCTCATCATCATACTCTTCCTCATCATCTGCTGTAGCATCCTGGTATTGTTGATATTCTGCAACCAAATCATTCATGTTGCTCTCGGCTTCAGTGAACTCCATTTCATCCATTCCTTCACCTGTGTACCAATGCAAGAAAGCCTTGCGCCTGAACATGGCAGTAAACTGCTCACTCACCCTTCTAAACATCTCCTGAATGGAGGTTGAATTGCCAACAAATGTGGATGCCATCTTCAGCCCAGTTGGTGGGATATCACACACACTAGACTTGACATTGTTAGGGATCCATTCAACAAAGTAGGATGAGTTCTTGTTCTGCACATTGATCATCTGTTCATCTACCTCCTTTGTGCTCATCTTACCCCTAAACATGGCAGAAGCTGTCAGGTAACGTCCATGACGTGGATCTGCGGCGCACATCATGTTCTTGGCATCCCACATTTGTTGAGTAAGCTCTGGCACTGTTAGGGATATGTATTGCTGTGATCCACGAGAGGTTAGTGGGGCAAATCCCACCATGAAGAAGTGAAGACGTGGGAAGGGGATTAAATTCACAGCCAATTTCCTCAGGTCTGAGTTCAGCTGGCCAGGGAATCTCAAACAGCAAGTAACACCACTCATGGTTGCAGAGATCAAATGGTTCAAGTCACCAACTACAAGAGAAAATAGGCAAAATTAATCATTTGCTTACTTAAACTTGCAGATCATATTATTGGTTACCACTAAAGAGAAACACTTACAACTTGGAGTAGTGAGCTTCAAAGTCCTGAAACAAATATCATATAGAGCTTCGTTGTCAAGGACCATACATTCATCAGCATTCTCCACCAATTGGTGCACAGACAATGTAGCATTGTATGGTTCTACAACAGTGTCAGACACCTTTGGAGAAGGGAAAACAGAGAATGTGAGCATCATCCTGTCTGGATACTCCTCCCTTACCTTGGAAATCAGTAGTGTTCCCATGCCAGATCCAGTCCCTCCACCAAGTGAGTGACAAACCTGGAATCCTGATCCACACAATAAAGAATATAAATCAGTCAACTACCACCCCTCAATCAATAAATGGTAATAATTGTAGAAATAGGATCACCAAATTGATGCATCAAACATATAAAGATTATTCAATAGATACTATCACTTGTCCAGAAATTTTCAAGAAAGAAGCAGTGTGTATAAGATCTTAGATAAATTTCCAAAACTGGAAGGAAAAGGAAAACAAGACGATTGACTAATATTGCCATCAGTAAGATCCAGACACATCATAAATCTCAGTACTCGATCATGAACTCTAAGAGAGTATGACTTGTTGTGAGATGCATAATGAGAAAGTTAAATTTATCCTTCTGCTAGACTATACAATTTTATGCCAATCATTTGTGTGCTCTATGAGATTCAAGCTTTATATGAACATTCAAATGTGCACATACGCATCAGCATTATTTCTACCTTGAGTTGTTAACAGCAAATATAGGCATTTGCATTATAGATCATACGATTACACATGAGTAAAAGAGATCTGTATACAACCGACTATGCTACCGTACGTACATTCATAGAAACAACAAACAAGCATCAAAACAAGATCAAATTCGGTTACATCTAGGCTATGTCAACTATAAGCACATACATCGGACCAATTAGCATAGGATTTGGAATGAAAATGAGGAAGAGATCTAGTATAGGCACTTCTAAAGGCACTGTCAACTATAAACTCATACATCGGGTCAATTAGCATAGGATTTGGAATGACAATAAGAAAGGGATCTAATGTATGCACTGTTAACTACCAATCGGAATAATAAGTAAGCAATTCGCAATGAAAACGAAAAACAGAAACTAAAGGCAACAGGCACATTCATAAACGAAATGAAAATTCGATTAGAAATGAACAAAACCTTGCAAGCAATCACAATTCTCCGCTTCTTTACGAACAACATCGAGAACAGCATCGATCAACTCAGCGCCTTCAGTATAATGACCTTTCGCCCAGTTATTCCCAGCACCAGACTGTCCAAACACAAAGTTATCAGGACGGAAGATCTGTCCATAGGGACCAGATCTGATACTATCCATAGTACCAGGCTCTAGATCCATAAGCACAGCCCTAGGAACATAACGTCCACCAGAAGCTTCATTGAAATAAACATTGATACGTTCAAGTTGAAGATCGGACTCAGCGGCAGTTCCTTTGTAACGTCCAGTAGGATCAACACCGTGTTCATCACAGATAACTTCCCAGAATTTGGAACCGATTTGGTTTCCACATTGTCCTCCTTGAATGTGAAGGATTTCTCTCATTTTCTCTTAGTTTTTTTGTGAAAAAATTGATGAGAGAATGAGAGAGAAGAAGAAGAAGAGATGAAGATGTAGATGAAGGGAGAAATGGGAAAGAGAGTGATATTTCTAGTGGTAATGGGGAGAGGCGGGAATACATAAACACGCAATAACTGATGGACCCTACATTATAGGGTGAGAAGAATATGGGTCCCACGATTTTCACCACCGATATTTTTGGCATCCATTATTTTCTTTTTGTACTCTTCTTAACGCACAATAAATTAATTTAATTTAATTAAATAATCTCTTTTATCATCTCAAATATTTTCTTTTCTTTCAACAAAATGTTTATTTTTAGAAGAAAAAAAATTAGTGACTTGTTATTATTTTTTATTAGTGTAGAATAATGTTGATTAAAAATAAGTTGTTATGAGAAAGATATATGTGATGTTTTGGGAGTTTTGATAAATACTTTTATGATTGAAGGAATTAAATGTTTTTTTTTTCTAAGGGGATGAATAAATCTTAAAAGTTAGGTAACGCATATATAGACATATGTTGATTTAGGATTTGAATCCATTGACCATTTGAGTTATTGGGTTGAATTTTGATATTACTAAATATGTTTCTTCGTTGAGTTCAATCAAATTCAGCGCTTCTACTATACATCCCACTTAGTAATTAAGCAGTCATTTAAATTTATATTTATCAACACAATAATTGAATATTAAAAAAAAACAAAAAGAAGAATAACATAGGATGGAAATAGATAGTTACTAAGTGTATAAGGTCATTCAAATTTATATATATTAATCAATGAATTTGAATCGTGCACTGCAGAATGCTTATAACTGTTTAAATTATAACCTTGTTGAGTATCATATTTTCTTATCCTTGATGTAGCTCCTCACATATATAGTAATGTTTGAATCGTGATCAAGTTCTCTACTCAACTTGAACTTTTTCTGTTTTTGCTTTGCTTTGAATTACTCTATTTATTAACCTTATTGTAATCACTTAACACACAAAAATAACCTTTAAAAGCCTACAAACTAGTAGTAGTAGTTGTAGATCCAATCAAATTTTGTCAAAAAGTGGATAGAAGTGTTGAAGAATATTTTGTGTTTAATTACTAGAAACAATCTGGAAACTTAAACAATCATTTGGATCAAGAACTCAATTATTATCATTTCATTACTGTTTTCACCTCCATTATTTCATTCACGTGGCTTGTTTCTTTTTTATTACTAATATATAAGTTTTTTCACGAGCACAAACCCCACAGCCAGTGAGGTATTTATGATATTTGTGGTGTTGACAGCTACTGATTTTTTGTCTCAATTACTATATGGTTCGTCTACTTGCAATATTTTTTTTCAAGTATCCTATCGTGATCACCACCTAATATTATTTTCACTATGTTTTTTTATTTATGAGATGCCAACTCCAACTACTGTACTAGATGGGGACAACAGCAGAGTTTTAGATCTGAATAATGGTACACTTCAATGCTTGAGCTCATCCACATAAAACTGATCTAAAAAAGATTCCACAAATATTAACTGAATTCATTACTTTCAACTTTGACTTCACCAATGCGTTTTCGATTAGTCATGATCAGCCAAAAATGCTAATTTAACCTGTTTAAGACGATCTATCGAAATGTGACTATGAGAATCCAGAACAAACAAAATGACGAAATAGGTAATAAAATTGCTTCTACTTCTTTACCTTTTTTATAATGTTCAAGAGTAAACTTGATTCAGAGGATCTGTAAAGTTTTTCCATTTGTTTGAAAGAGACTTGATTTTGAAAGGATAAGGGCATGAATATAACACATACTTATATGCTATATTGCTCCGACTCTCTGGAAATCTCCAGAAGTAGTGCATTTTTGGAGGATCCGGCACAGGGTGTGGCTCTTGTTTTGTAGAGTCCACGCAACATAGCTTTTATCATTTGCTATTATCATAAAAGACTATTCATTACCACAACAGACCAGAATCACAGAAAATATTATCAAAATAGAAATTAGAAAAACATACGAAATTAGAAAGTTGTTAGGTCCTTTTGGGGTCTTTCTTCTGCACATATGGAAACATTACAATACAAAGATCAACAGCTAAAGACTTGAATACAGGACGTCACCAAAATGTAGAACAAACGAATTCTTGTAACAGCTGCTTTCATCGATTTTGAAGCATGGATTCGTTGCAGTATTTCTTGAAATTCAAGCATTCTTCCACAATGAAATCACTGCAAAATTTGATTTCAAAAAGTAGTGTTAGTGACACAAATAGCAACCTTTTTCATCATACAAGCAGCAACAAGTGGAAACTTACAAGATCCGCTCAGCCATATCTGATGTTTCCCATCTGGGACTCCACGGGTATTCAGTAGTGACTGGAGACTTGATGGGCAGACCTTGAGAATTAAAGTGCTATACAAACATGCCAATGCACAGATATGAGCACCCAGTCAATCGATACTACAACAACTACTACTACACCTCGCCATCAAAAGTTTTCGCACAAAGTAAGCACAAACAGATGAGTGGAAGGGCAAAAGCTGAGAAGTATGCCACTCCTATCACAGAATGGCGGGCAAGAATTGGGGGGCATAACCACTACATTTTTTCACAAAAAGGTTCTATGCTTAATATTACATGCTCATGAAGGCAAACTAAAAGCCCTCGATTATTACAAACAACCATACCAAAATATCTAAAATCCTGTCACGATATCTTTCTCAAAAAAAAATCATGTCACGTTATTGAACAACAACATCAACAACATAACCAGTGAAATCCTACAAGTGGGGGATCTGCAGAGAGTAGAGTGTATGTAGACCTTACCCCTACCTCGTGGGGTAGAGAGGTTGTTTCCACCCTCAGCTCAAGTGTGGCAAATCAAAAGAAAAGGTACATGGAGAAAAGAATAAAATATAGTAAAGGTAAGAAGGCACCAATATAGTTCAAGGGGACCTACACAAACTATTTTACCTGGGAACTCTGAAGCATCAAACTTGGCTGCTGCTTAGGGAACTGAAGTGGGATGGCAACATGAACCTAAAATATCAAGGATATTATAAGATTTATCTACTAATAATCGATCATCAATAACATTTCGATATAAGCAGCACAAGCAAAGATATTCAATCATGGGAACATGGTCTCCAGTCAGCATGTCAAACAAAGCTTTATCTTGTGGAAGAAAAAAGAGCAACGTATTTGCTGAACGAATTGCAACTATAGGTAAGACCATGACCTGTTTCTCTATGCTTTTGAGTTATTCTTATAGATGTATGGACTATTTTGTATCAGGTGTTTGCATTCATTTGAAATTCTACTCAATTTCCCATCGTTCTTCAGCTATCAAAGTCTTCTCCCCCCCCCCCCCCCCCCCCCCCCCCC